GGGTGGGGTGTGGGTGTGGGTGTGGGGTGTGGGTGTGTGTGGTGTGGGTCTGGGTCTGGGTGTGGGTGGTGTGGGTGTGGGTGTGGGTGTGGGGTGTGAGTGTGGGTGTGGGCGTTGATGTGAGCGATCACAAGATTGAGGGTGTGGGTGGGTGTGTGGGTTTAGATGCGGGAGTGGATGTGGGTGTCTCTTTAGTCATATCCTCACACCACACTCACACCCACACCCTCAAGCAAAACAAATATGTGAAAATTTCTTTTGTTTGATGTTGGTAAAACAAATTGGTGTGTAAAACGTGTTTTTTTTCTTATACATACTGAATGACATTAGTTTATTTTCACCTACATGAGTGTTAAACAAATATTCTCATTAGTCACCATTGTGAAATCTATAAAGGCTTTTACCAACAGAAAGAAAAATAACAATGATTCATACAAATGTAAATTTCGTCAATCACTTCTCTATAAATAATTCAGCACACATTTTATCAAAGCATTTTCATAGCGAATAGATCAACTCAGCTGATCAAAGTATTTGATCAATTAAACATGACTCTTGAGTTGTTACCCAATGAACTTTTATTACAATTGTTCGAATATCTTCCTGTCGTCGATCTTTTTCGCGCTTTCCTACATCTCAATAGTCGGTTTAATAATCTTCTCTTCAATCAATTTCGTAAATATCGTCTCAATTTTCAATCTACATACAAACAAGATTTTGATATTATTTGTCGACGCTATCTTCCATCAATTATTGATCGAACAATTTCACTTTGTCTTTCAGACGATGACAAAACTCCAGATCAAAGCAATTGTTTTGTATCTTATAACTTGGCTCTTTGTGACTTTAGACATTTACAATCACTCTCATTATATTATTTACGTTGTGAAATCGTAATGTGCCAATTGATGAATGAATGTCAACATCTTCATAGTTTAATCTATCTGAAATTTAGTCAATGCAAATTTCGTCATGAAAAAACGACAATTTGTTGTCTTCTTAGTAGCATATGGTGTTTACCAAAGTTGACTTACTGTTATTTGGATATTTATTTTAATGGTAAAGAATATTGTATTTTACCAACAATGATATCTACTTCACTTCAACATCTTACTATACAGTGGGCAACATATCGGCTTACGGATCTTGCTCATATTTTCCAATGTACACCTTATCTTCAATATCTTGATGCAAACTACAGTATCGATCTTGATGATACACCACTTTCTTTTAATATTTCATCGATCGTTACGTTGAAAATGTGTGTGTATGAATCACGATCAACGTTAATTAGTTTTTTGGAAAAATTGCCTAATTTACGTCATTTGACAATCGAAACAGATGATACCCATATGGATGGATATCAATGGGAACAACTTATTGTCAATCATTTGCCTAAACTTCAAATACTACGACTTAAAATGTTATTTCATGTTGATGATAACGAAAATAAAGAACAACGAGTCGATGATTTACTTAATTCATTTAGAACTCGATTTTGGCTTGAAGAACATCAATGGTATGTTCGATGTGATTGGGATCGATGTCAACAAGATTCTTGTCGTGACGATATTTTTCTCTATACATTACCATATACTTTCAACGATTACTATTTGCATGATTCAATTATTAAAGAGAAATCGACTTGTCCTGGTAATGATATTCATTTTTCATACGATCAAGTACATTCTTTGCAGTATGAAATTTTTCCACCTACAAATCAAATATCGTCTCAATTTATGTTCCTTAATATTCACGAACTTTATATGTACTTTCCTATAGATGTTAATTTTTGGTTAGTAATGCCTCGACTAGATCATTTGAAATCACTTTCAGTGGGTATAGATGATCTTGTTCAAACGTTTGATACTCTATGTCAATTGCAAACCATTTTGGATCGAGCACCTCGTTTATATAGTCTCACATTTGAACGTTGGCCGGAGACTTTTACAGATATGCCACCATTTAATTATTCAAGTAATTCAGTTCGTCTACTTCATTTGCAAGATATTGATCGACCTTACAATCATCGTCAGTGTGTTATATTGAGTCGTTCATCACTAGGCAAACAATGTGAAATACTTTCAATTACCGTAAAATATCGAAGAAGTATACTCTATCTTCTTCGTAAAATGACAAATCTTCGAGCATTGAATTTTATATCTCAAGAAGATCCATGGGCAGATCGAAATCAACATTACTCATCTTCGTCGAGTGAAGATGATGGTACCGATGACGAACTTATTGCCTGGTTAAAAGATTGTTTACCATCTACCTATACGATTACGAGATGTACTGAAGGAGTTACTGAATTTGGAACTCGGACTATTGGCTATCCTATACGATTGTGGATTGGTTGACTGATAAACTGATAAGACAGATAGTGCTAATAATATTGCAAATATATTTTTCAGAAATTATTTGATTTTACTTGTAATGTAATAGAAACAAATTAAAAATGTTTTTCCTTAACACTTTCAAACGAGTTTGACACCGGTTAAATATATTACATATATTAATGAAAGAATCATAAATTCTATTGTCATAGTAACAATCTATTCAGATCTACAATAGTTTTTTTGATAAGTCATGATAGGAAATTACTGCGGCACACATTACTAATCAGTCTAGCACAGAAATACACTCACACCATTAAATATAAAGCCATACTCTATAGTCGAGCATTTAGTCTTTTTGCTTCATATCAAGTAGTAAGAAAATTATTGGTTTTGCTAGTCTTTTTTGTTGTTCCCTCGACTGAAGGAAGGGTCATATGAAAAAAAAAATAGTTTGTTTGTTTGCTTGTTGCAAGGTCAAAAGAACATCCGCTTAAAGATCAACGCTCAGATATCTTCAATATCTGCTTTTCGTCCAATCATGTACTTTCAGCTCGGAAATTCAGCCAATCACGGATTTTCGATATCGGACTTTCGGCCAATCAGATTTTTTCTACTTCGAAATTGAGCCAATCAGGGATTTTCGATATCGAACTTTCGACCAATCAGATTTTTTCTGCTTGGAAACTCAGCCAATCAGGGTTTTTCGATATCAGGCTTTCGAGCAGTCAGATTGTATCTGTTTGAAATTTCAGCTATTGAAACGTTTTCCAAAACCTAGCTTTGGTGCAATTGGGTGGTGAAAATCTGGGCTTTAAGTCGGTCAGTATTTTGTGGGTGCATTCCTCGTTCAATCAGATTTTGAGAAGCTCATGTATTTCAATAAACGTTAGTTCTTCGACTGAAAGGAGGATCATATGGAGTAAAATTGTTTGTTTGCTTGTCGTCGGGCCAAAGGTCAAAAAGCACAAAATAATGACTTTCTTATACAGTTCTCGCCCAATAGAATTCGCAAAAGGCAACGAAACTGTTCAGTAGGCACCTCATTCTCTCGCTCCGCGATCTATCGATCAATCAGATTCCTCCAAGCGCGGAAGTCAGCCAATCAGTTTCTTTGATCCTCAAGCTTTGGACCAATAAGATTCTTTGCGACTGCATATGTAACCAATCATATGTTTGGGAGGGTGTGCGTGTTGCGATCGATCAGGTCCTTTAAGACTAAGGTGAATGAAGCTCACGTAAACCAGAGGTGTGCACCGCTCGTGCGGATGCAGAGTATGGGTGCGGAGCGGCCGCACCGCTCGCACGGTCCGTCCGTCCCGCCCTGAGAAGTATGATTTATATGAGTGCGGTCGCACCACTTCCGAATTTTGTGAGCGGGACTGGTGCGGAGTGGCTGTCCACCCCTTATCTACCGCTCGAGCGGCCGCATGACCTGAATTCGACCCTTCTGTAGGGCAATATCTTCTGAAGTTGAACCGACAAACCTAAACCGTGAATAATACTGTTTAGCAATATTGCTGACCTTTTTCATCTTAAATAACAATGATAAATAACGAAATCTTGACTTCGCACTCATATTTGACATGAATATCAGTTTTAAATCCTATGTCGGACGGGTTTTGATTCTCATAATGTGTTTGTACTATGCTAGGCGTTCTATGACACCATTTCTACATTTTTTGTTACTCCTTTCGTTGCACATATTACATAGATAGACTGTTGACTTCCACTTTTTCTTTTTCCATTTTAATTTTTGTGAAACAAGATCTAAAAGGAGTGTTCAAGTGTATAGGGTAGAAATTTTGGACCTACTCTGCTTCCTCCACAGACTGTGACAGAGAAATTCCATAGCCATCGCAAACCGTAAAATAGAAACTGTATTTCTAAAGCATCAGATACAAGGTCAGCTACAAATGTATCGCAAAGAAATGGAACAATACGATTTCTATTTAACTAATGCCCATTTCGAAAAAGCAGGATATTTTTCAAATAGCTTTCCATAGAAGCGAAATAGAGAGCTGCGGTTTTCACCGTTGCAAAGAAATAATGACGGTGCATCGAACCGTATATAACAAAATAATTTAGCTTAATATTTGAAAGGATTTAAAGTCACGTTTTTCAAAACGAACATATTCCGCCAGGTGGCTAAAGTGCATTTTCAATAATTTGGGGTGCATTTGAAGTGTTAACAGAAGATCAACAAAGGTGTGCAAGATCCAGTCTTTTCGATTAAGAGGGGAGCTCCCCACAGAAACGAACTTTGTTATTTTTCATCCGATTTCAACCACAATTTCAGAGAATGTTAGTCTTGACTAGAGTAGCTTATGGTTAAAATATCTCCCCCAGACCTCAAAGAAATGCACAAGTTCTAGTCAATTCATTACCCTTTACGCAGGCAAGGATTTCGCAATAAGGATACGAGCTAACAAGCTGCTCCGGCAGTTTTCAAGTTGTAGAGTACCCTTAGGGCTAGATCCTCACAGGGTCCGATTTTTGAATTTCCCTTTGCTTGTTTTTGAAAAAACTTTTTTCGTAAAATTCACGAAATCGTGCCCAAAAAAGGGTGACGGACATTTCGCACCCCTCATTCCGAACTGCCGACATGTTTCCGGTTGTCCGGAAATGAGTTTTTGTCCCAAAAAATTTTTGACGGGAGTTCGTAATCAATTTTAGACAGGAAATCGTAACGAAAAAACAGGGAGATCGGAAAGGTGTCACCGGGAATTCGGAACGGAATGCTCACCACTATGTGCGACGTAATGTCCGGAGATCGGAATGAAAAAGACCAGGTGTTCGGAATGTAACTTTAAGGGTATTTTTCATTGAAAAAGGCGAGAAGACCGTAATGAAACTGACTGGGAGTTCGTAACTCAATTTAGCAGTAGATCGTAACAGATTTATTCTG